CAAGAAAGGATACTATATTTTGTCAAATGCCTTTTCTGCATTTATTGACAGGATCATATGGTTCTTATCTTTCTTTTATTAAGGTGATGCATTCTATAACATTGATTGATTTGTTAATATTGAACCAGCCCTGCAGCCCAGGAATGAATCCCACTTGATCGTGGTGAATAATTCTTTCTATATGCTGTTGAATTTGATTTGCTAGTATCTTGTTGACAATTTTTGCATCCATGTTCATCAGTGATAGTGGCTTGTAATTCTTCTTTGTGTGTGTGTGTGTGTGTGTGTGTGTGTGTGTGTGTGTGTGAGGATCTCTGTCTGGTTTGGGAATCAAGATAATGCTGGCTTTATAGAATGAGTCCAGAATTTTTCCTTCCGTTTCCGTTTTTTGGAACAGCTTGAGAAGGATAGGTATGTACTCTGTTTTAAATGTCTGGTAGAATTCCCCAGGGAAGCCATCTGGTCTAGGACTCTTATTTTTTGATAACTGATTCAATTTCTTCACTAGCTATGGGTTTGTTCAAATTTTCTATTTCATCCTGTGAGTTTTGGTAGTGACTGTGTGTTTAGGAATTTGTTCATTTCTTCCAGGTTTTTCAGTTTGTTGGCAAATAATTTTTCATAGTAGTTCCTGATAATTGCTTGTATTTCTGAGAGATTGTGATATGTCCATTTTCAATCTTGATTTTATCTTTTTGGGTCCTGTCTCTTTTCTTTTTGAGAATTCTGGCTAGGAGTTTATCAATTTTATTTAAAAAAAAACCTATTAGTTTCATTGATCTGTTCTACTGGTTTTTGGGGGAGTTTATATTGCTCATTTCTGCTCTATTATTTTTTATTTGTCTTCTTCTGCTAGCTTTGGGTATTCTTTGTTGTTCTGCTTCTAGTTCCTTTAGGTGTGCTGTTAGATTGTATATTTGCGATTTTTCCTGTTTCTTGAGATAGGCCTGGATTGCAGTGTATTTTCCTCTTAGGACTGCCTTTGCTGCATCCCAAAGTGTTTGGACTATTGTGTTTTCATTTTCATTTTTTTCCATATATTTTTAAATTTCTCCTCTAATTGCCTAGTTGACCCATTCATTCCTTAGTAAGATGTTTTTTAACCTCCATGTATTTGGAGGTTTTCCAAACTTTTTCCTGTGGTTGATTCCTAGCATTGCATCTGAAAGTGTGCATGGTATGATCTCAATTATTTTATATTTATTGAGGTCTGTTGTTGTGACACATTATGTGCTCTATCTTGGAGAAAGTTCCATGTGCACTCAAGAACAGTGTGTATTCTGCTGCTTTAGTATGAAAAGATCTGAATATATCTCTCAAGTCCATCTGGTCCAGTGTAACATTCAGGGCCATTGTGTCTTTACTGATTTTCTATCTGGATAATCTGTCCATTGTTGTAAGTGTAGTAATAAAGTGGCCTGCAGTTAGCACATTTTTACCAAGAAGATTGCTTATGTTTGTGATTGTTTTATATATTTGGGTTCTTCCAAATTTGGTGCATAAACATTTATAATTTTATCTCCTTTTTTTTAATTTTTCTTTTGTTTCTTACAAATAGTTTATTGTCAAGTTGGTTTCCATATAAGACCCAGTGCTCATCCCCAGAAGTGCCCTCCTCCATGCCCATCACCTGCCTCCACCCCCACATCCACCAGTCCTCAGTTTGTTTCTCAGCATTCAAGAGTATGTCATGGTTTGCCTCTCTCCTTTTCCCCCACCATTTCCCCCCTTCTTCTCCCCCATGGTCCTCAGTTAAGTTCCTCCTAATCTTCCTATACGTGCAAACATATAATATTTGTCCTTCTCTGCCTGACTTATTTCGCTCAGCATAACACCCTCAAGGTCCATCCATGTTGCTACACATGGCTAGATTTCATTGTTTCTCATTGCCATGTAGTACTCCATGGTATAGATAAACCACATCTTCTTGATCCATTCGTCCGTTGATGGACACTTAGGCTCTTTCCATGTTTTAGCTATCGTTGAGAGTGCTGCTATGAACATTGGGGTACATGTGCTCCTATGCATCAGCATTTCTGTATTTCTTGGGTAAATTCCTAGCAGTGCTATTGCTGGGTCATAGGGGAGTTCTATTGTTATTTTCCCGAGGAACCTCCACACTGTTTTCCAGAGGGGCTGCACCAGTTTCCATTCCCACCAACAGTGTAGGAGGGTGCCTGTACTCCACATCCTCGCCAGCATCTAGAGTTCTCTGATTTGCTCATTTTAGCCACTCTGACTGGTGTGAGGTGGTATCTCAGTGTGGTTTTGATTTGTATTTCACTGATGAGGAGGGATGCTGAGCATCGTTTCATGTGTCTGTTGGCCCTCTGCATGTCCTCTTTGGAGAAGAGTCTGTTCATATCTTCCGCCCATTTCTTCACTGGATTGTTTGTTTTTTTGGGTGTGGAATTTGGTGACTTCCTTATAGATTTTGGATATTAACCCTTTATCTGATATGTCATTTGCAACTATCTTTTCCCATTCCGTTGGTTGCCTATTAGTTTTGTGCATTGTTTCCTTTGCTGTGCAGAAGCTTTTAATCTTAATGAGGTCCCAATCATTTATTTTTGCTCTTGACTCCTTTGCTTTGGGGGATGTGTCAAGTAAGAAGTTGCTGCGGTGGAGGTCAAGGAGGTTGTTTCGTGCTTTCTCCTCTAGGGTGTTGATAGTTTCCTGTCTCACATTCAGGTCCTTTATCCATTTTGAGTTTATTTTTGTGCATGGTGTGAGAAAATTTTTATCTCTTCTTAATGGACATACTCCATAATTATGATATAATATCCTTCTTCATCTCTTGTTACATCCTTTAGTTAAAAATCTAGTTTGTCTGGAAAAGTATGGCTACTTCAGCTTTCTTTTAACTACCAGTAGTTTGATAAATGGTTCTCCATCTCCCCGCTTTCAGACTGAACGTGTCCTCAGATGTAAAATGAGTCTTTTGTAGACAGCAAATAAATAGGTCTTGTGTGTTTTTTTTTAAATCCATTTTGATACCCTATGTCTTTTGATTGAAGCATTTTGTCCATTTAAATTCAGTGTTATTATTGAAAAATATAGATTTAGAGTCATTGTATTATCTGTAGATTTTATGCTTGTAGTGATATCTCTGGCCCTTTGTAATCTTTGCAACATTGCACTCACAGAGCCCCCCTTAGGATCTCTACTAGGGCTGGTATAGTGCTGATGAATTCCTTCAGATTTTGTTTGTCTGGGAAAACCTTTATCTCTCCTATTCTGAATAACAGGTTGGCTGGATAAGAGTCTTGGATGAATATTTTTCCTATTCAGCACATTGAAATTTTTCTGCCACTCCTTTCTGGCCTGCCAAGTTTCAGTAGAGAGGACTGCTATTACCTTTATGTGTCTACCCTTGTAGGTTAAGTCTCATTTGTCCCTATATGTTTTCACAATTCTCTCTTTATATTTGTATTTTGCCAGTTTTACTATGTTATGTCATGCAGAAGATGGATTCAAGGTATGTCTGAAGGGAGTTCTCTGCTGAAGCTGCTTCTTTGAATGTTCATCTCGATATATTCCCCACAGAGTTTGGCAAAAAGAGGGCTTATTCTTTGTTTTTAGAATTCTAGTCTAATGCTTTCCACAGTCATTTTACCTATGTTCATAAACCAGTGATTATTTTTGAAAAATCATAAAGATATTGGTACTTTGTATCTTTTATTTGGTGCCTGAGTTAGAATAGTAGGAACCACCCTAAACTTTATAATCCATGCTGAATTAGGTTAGTCTAGCATCTGACCTAATGACAAAATTTATAATGTAATTGTAACTGTCCACACATATTCATAATAATTTTCTTTATAGCATTGTCTATTATAATGGGAGGGTTTGGAAACTGACCAGTACCACTAATAATTAGAATATCTGATATAACATTTCTCTGAATCAACAACAAAGCTTCTGACTATTACCACCATCATTTCTACTCTTACGTCATCCATAGTTAAAACAGGTGCAGGAACCCGTTGGACTGTATATCCTCCTCTAGCTGGCAATCTAGCACACACAGGAGCATCAATAGATCTATTTTTTTTCCCTTCACTTAGCAGGTGTATTCTCAATTTTAGGGGCTATCAACTTCATGACTACATCAATGCGAAGCCACCCGCTACATCCCAATATGAAACACCTTTGTTCACTTGATTTGTCCTAATTACAGCTGTTCAACTTCTGTCACCACCAGTTTTAGCAACTGGGATTGCTATGTTACTAACAGATCACAACATGAATACCACATTCTTCGACCCTACAAGAGGAGGAGACGCTTTTCTATGACATCTATTTTGATATATTGATTCTTCTGGCACCCCGATGTGTATATCTTAATTTGACCCAATTTGGAATAATTGCACATATTATTACCTATTATTCAGGAGAGAAAAAAGAACCCTTAGAATAGATATCAACAGTTTCAGCCATAAGTCCATCTGATTTCTAGCTTTCATTGCATGAGCTCACCATAATTTACTGTAGGCATGAATGTCAACACATGAGCATACCTTACATCAGCCACTGTTATTATTGCTATCCCAACAGGAGTAAAAGTATTTAGTTGACTAAGAACCTTCTATGGAGGCAAAATCAAATGATCACAAGTCATGCTATGAGCCTTAGGTTTTATTTTTTTATTCACAGCGAGGGGCCTAACAGGAATTGTATTAGTTAATTCATCCCTAGATATTGTCCTTCATGACACACATTATGTAGTAGCACATTTCCACCATGTCTTATCAATAAGAGCAGTATTTACTATTTTTGGAGCTTTCATTCTTTGATTCGCTCTATTTTCAAGCTGCACACTTAATTCTACTTCAGCAGAAGTTCACTTCATAATTATATTTGTTGAGGTTGATATAATCTTCTTCCCACAACACTTTCCTGCCTTATCAGGAATACCTTGATGCTATTCCAGTTATCCAGATGCGTACACAACATGAAGTATCATCTGATTTACAGACTCATTCATCTCATCACCATAGTAATATTAATAATCTTTATAGTTTGAGAAGCCTTGCATCCAAATGAGAAGTAGCAATGGTAGAGGTGATTAATACCAATCTCAAATGACTACTCTGATGCCTTCCTCCATATCACATATTTGAAGAATCCACTTACATAAGTCTAAAATAAGAAAGGAAGGAGTGAAAACTTCTCAAATTTGTTTCAAGCCAACACCACAACCATTATGTCTTTCTCAATAATGAGATACTATTAACAATTATAAAACATTTTCAAAGTAAATTATAAGTTGAAGTCCTTTATATCTCTATGGAATACCCCTTTCAACTAGGTTTCCAAGCTGTGACATCGCCAATGATAAAAGAACACTTGCATTTTCATGACAACATGTTGATAATTAGCTTAATCAGCTCTTTAGTACTTTATATTATTTCATTAATACCAACAACTAAATGGGGGCCCCTGGGTAGCTCAGTCAGCTAAGCATCCAGCTTTTGGTTTCAGTCCAGGTCATGATCTCACAGTTCATAAGTTTGAGCCCCATATTGGGCTCAACACTGGCAGTGCAGAGCCAGCTTGGAATTATCTCTCCCTCTCTCTCTGCCTCTTCCCCACTCATCTCTCTCTCTCTCTCTCTCTCTCTCTCTCTCTCTCCCCCCTCCCTTTATCTCTCTCTCTCAAATATATAAACTTAAAAAATACTAACAACTAAATTAATTCATATGAGTATAATGAAGCCACAAGAAGTAGAAACTATGCTATCAGCCATTATCCTAGTCCTAATTGCCCTATAATCACTATGAATTATTTATATAGTAGATGAGATCAATAACTCTTCATTAACCATAACTAAAACCATGAATATACAGACTATGAAGATCTAAATTTTGACTCTCATATAATTCCCATGCAAGAACTAAAACCTGGGGAGTTACGACTATTGGAAGTTGATAACCAAGTTGTCTTACCTATAGAAATAATGATCCAAATACTGATTTTATCAGAAAAGCCTTACACTCATGAGCCATTCCCCCCCTAGTCCTAAAAACAGACGCCATTCCTGGATGACTGAATCAAACAACCTTGATAGCTACCTGACCAGGACTATGTTATTGATAACGCTCAGAAATTTGTGGCTGAAATTATAGTGTTTTTTACAAATTGTTTCTGATTTAGTTCCATTACAATATTTCAAAAAATTATCTTCATCCATAATGTAATATCATTGAAAAGCTATAAAGCATTTACTTTTTAAATTAAAGACTGAGAATTTAAATCTCTTTAATGGTATGCCACAACTAGATACATCAACTTGATTTATTACTATTATATCAATAATTATATTACTAGTCATTATTTTTAAACTAAAGATTTCAGAATATATTTAGTCATGAAACCTTGAATTAAATTCAAGTAAAATATTGAAATACCCATCTTTTTGGAGAAAAAAAATGAACAAAGATCTATTTGCCTCTTTCACAATCCCAACAATAATAGAACTACCTATTGTGATTCTGATTATTACACTTCCAAGCATTCTATTCCCTACATGTAATTGACTAATTAATAATCATCTAATCTCTATACAATGGTTAATTCAATTGACATCAAAACAAATAATAGCTATTTATAATTCCAAAGGATAAACTTGAACGCTAATACTCATATTGCTTATTTATTTTTTATTTTTTTATTTTTTATTACTTATTTTAGTTAACAGCTCAACAAACCTCTTAAACTGCTACTATCTAATCTATTAATGAACTCTAAAAGGACTTCAATGAAACAAATATAATAATCAGTTTAAATTAAAACAAATAATTTCAACTAAAATTATGCTTAACTTTCTATCAAATGTCCCTAGTCTACATCAATATTTTTCTAGCATTCATTACCTTCTTTATTGCACTATTAATATATCAATCCAATTGAATATCATCTTTATTATGTCTAGAAAGCATAACATTATCACTATTTATTATAGTGATCATAACAATTATAAATATCCACTTCACACTAGTTAGTATGATGCCTATTATCCTATTAGTATTTGCAGGCTGTGAAGCCACACTAAGATGATCCTTGCTAATAATAGTACCCAACACTTATGAAACTATGTACAAAATCTCAACGTCCCACAATGTTAAAAATTATTATTCCAACTTGTCATACTAGTACCACTAGCAAGACTTTCAAAAAAAATAAAATAATCTGACTCAATACAACAACTCATAGCTTATTAATTAGCCTTATCAGTCTATCATACCAAAACCAACTTAATGATAAAAAGCCTCAACTTTCATGTCTTTTCTGACTCCTTATAAGTACCTCTTCTGGAACTAACAATATTACTTTTTTCTCTAATACTTATGGTGAGCCAGTTCCACTTCTCAAAAAAGAACCCACTAGCTCAAAAATTTTGTATATTACAATATTAATCTTACTACAGTTGTTTCTAATTATTACTTTTATTGCAACAAAACTAATTTTGTTTTACATTTCATTTGAAACTACATTAGTACCATCTCTAATCATTAGCCAATGAGGAATCCAAATGGAACAATGAAATGCAGCTTTCCATTTCTCATTTTAAAAACCAGAAGGGTCACTACCAATTCTAGTTGCACTGAGATATACTCAAAATCATACAAGTTCTTCAAATTTCTCTTTTTAAATTCTTTAATCTTTATTTATTTTTGAAAGAGAGTGCAAGTGGGGTAGGAACAGAGAGAGAGAAAGAGAGAGAGGGAGACATAGAATCCGAAGCAGGCTCCAGGCTTTGAGCTGTCAGCAGAGCTCGACAAGAGGCTCAAACCCATGAACCATGAGATCATGACCTGAGCTGATGTCAGATGCTTAACCAACTGAGCCACCCAGGCACCCCTCTTCAAATTTCTTAATAGTCCAATATGGAGCCCAACCAGTATCCAACTCTTGCTATAACACTTACCTATGACTAGTATTCATAATAACATTTGTGGTAAAAATGCCCCTCTACAGACTACATCTTTAATACCAAAAGTATATGTAGAGTCCCTTATTGCCAGCTTAATTGTACTCACATCTGTACTACTGAAATTAGGTAGATATGGAATATTATGAATAGCAACAAATCTGAACCCTTTAATGAACCACATAGCTTATCCTTTCCTCATATCATCATTATGAAGAATAATTATAACAAGTTCTATTTGCTTACAACAAACAGACCTAAAATTACTCATCACATATTCATCTGTCAGTCATATAGCCTATGTAATCATAACGATTCTCATTCAAACAACATGGAGTTACATGGGAGTTACAACTCTAATAATCACCCACAGCCTTACATCATCAATACTATTCTGTCTAGAAAATTCAAAATATAAATGAGTACATAGCTGAACTATAATTCTAGCCCATGGATTACAAAGGCTTCTTTCACTAATGGTGACCTGATAACTCTTAGCAAGCCTTACTAATCTGGTCTTACCCCCAACAATTAACATAATCAGAGAATTATTTGTAGTGATGTCTTCCTTTTCATGATCCACACTACCATATTTATTTTAACAGGGATTAACATTATCATTACTGCCTTGTACTCTCTGCATATGTTATTTATAACCCTATAAGAGAAATACCCATATTACATTAATATCAAACCATATTTTACAGGAGAAAACACCCTAATAGTCCTACACATCTTACCTCTACCATTTATAACTTAACCCTAAAATAATTTTAGGGTCTATTTGTTGTAAATATAGTTAAATAAAAACATTAGCGGGGCGCCTGGGTGGCTCAGTCGGCTGGGCAGTGGACTTCGGCTCAGGTCATGATCTCGCGGTCAGTGAGTTCGAGCCTCGCTTTGGGCTCTGTGTTGACAGCTCAGAGCCTGGAGCCGGTTTAGGATTCTGTGATTCCCTCTCTCTCTGCCACTCCCCCATTGAAGCTCTGTCTCACTCTGTCTCAAAAATAAAATAAACATTAAATAAATAAATAATAAAAAAGTAAAATTATAAAAAACAATACATTGTGAATCTAATAATGTAAATTCAAAATTTCTTATTTATCAAAAAAGGATGTAAGAACTGCTAATTCACAAGAAACAGACTCTTAATTACAGAGAACAATCTAATGGTTACCAGAGGGAAGAGTATAGGCGGAAGTGTTAAATAAGTGATGGAGACTAAGAAGTGCATTTGTTTTGTTTTGAGAGAGAAAAAGACAGAAAAAGCAGGGGAGAGGGGCAGAGGGAGAGAGAGAATCTTAACCAGGCTCCATGCTGAGTGTGGAGACCATCACAGGACTCAATCCCACAACCCTGGGATGATGACCTGAGCTGAAATCAAGACTCAGATGCTCAACAGACTGAGGCACCCAGGCACCCCATGGAGTGCGCTTGTGATGAGCATAGGGTGATGCATGGAAATGCTGAATTACTATATTATAAACCTGAAATGAGTATAATATTTTGTTAATTAACTGGAATTAAATTAATTTTTAAACCTGCTAATTAATACTTCATATATAAAAATATATCCTTTTCAACTTTTAAAGGATAGAAGTAATCCATTAATCAAAGGAGCCAAAGTTATACCAAAATTGGTATAACTCAAAAGCAATAACAATTCACCTCCCTGTATAAACAACCTTATTTATATTAACTACCAATCATAACTACCTACCATACCTATAAAAGAAACCTATGTTCATACCACATAAAAACCACCAGTTGTATGCCTTGAGTATCAGTATAATTCCAACAACATTCATCTATTCAGACCAAGAAATAATTATTTCAAAATGACATTGAATAACAATTCAGACTCTAAAATTATTGTTCAGCTTTAAGCTACATTACTTCTCAATAATTTTTATACCAGTAGCACTTTTCATTACATGATCAGTCATAAATTCTCAATTTGACATGTACACTCTGATCCCAATATCAACCACTTTTTCAAATATCTACTCATATTCCTCATCTCTATATTAATCCTAGTAACCATCAACAATTTATTTCAATTTTTTCTTGGACAAGAAAGAGGTATTATATCATTTCTACTGGTCATTTGATAGCATAAAAAAACAGATGCA